GAACCACAGGGTAAGCAGTTCATACTAACCAGCCATTCCTCGGAAACCCTGTACAGGGTTTCTATGAGTCAGAACATAATAAGTGAACCTTATGGACTTCTGGTGTGACACTGTAGGATGATAAGCACTGGACTGCTAACCACAAGGCTGGCAGTTCAAATCCACTAGCTGCTCCTTCGAAACCCTATACAGGGTTAGTATGAGTTGGAATCTACTCAACAGCACTTAACAACATGTGCATCTTAAGAACCTTGGTACTGCAGTGATTAAGGCACTCAGCTGCTTGAACTCCCCAGTGGCCCCATGGGAGAAAGATGTGGCAGGCTGCTTCCATACAGATTTACAGCTTTGGAAACCATATGGGACAGTTCTCCTTGGCCCTACAGGTTCATTCTGAATTGGCATCAACTTGATGGCAAAGGGATGTGCACCTTGCATAGTGTCTGAGAACTTAAGAAGTATCTAATGTGCAATAATGAACGATGGCCCAGAACCACATCATAATCTATATCTCCCAGACCAGCGCATTATCTTTCCTCCCATTTTTTAGCTCTCTGTTTGAAACAGCGACACCACCATCCTTCTAACCACTCAGACTTAAAGTCTTGGCACCTTCCGACTCTGCCTCCTATTCCCCACCTGCAGTACTTGGCCAAGTGCTAGTGGTATTCACACAAAGACTGTTGCCTCCACTCGTTTACTTCTGTTGCCATGGCCTTAATGGCGGCCCTCATTGTAGTTCCATCGGTTTATCACTCTAATCTCCAAATTGTGCCTTTCCACTAGCCTTTCACCTCTGCTTTCCATTTTACAGAGTTCCTCCAGAAAATCCCTCTGAAGCATTAATGTCACATTCTCCCTAATCACAACCTGTCAGTGACTTCCCAGTCTTACAGGATCAAGTGAAGAGTCTTCGCACAATTTCTTGCCCTTATTTTCTACTTGACTCCTAAAGGTTTAGGTGTCAGATTAGACTACTTCTTGTTCTTTGCCCCCCCATCTCCATGCTCTGACACATGTTGTTGCTTTTCTGTACACATCCCTTCCTCTTCCTGCATTTATAGATAACCACCCCCCATCATCTCCTCTACTAAACGTCTCCTGATTTTCCCCGAAAATTAGGCCTTTACTCACCACCAGTTGCCATCGACTCAGCTCTGACTCATGGCAACCCAGTGAATGTCAGAGTAGAACTGTGCTCCACAGATTTTCAGTGTCTGATTTTTCTGAAGTAGAATGCCAGACCTTTCTTCTGAGGTGCCTCTGGGTGGGCATAAACCTCCAACCTTTCAGTTAGCAGCCCAGTGTATTAACCTGTGTTTCACACATAATTTAGATTTTCCACCTGATATTATGATTACTTGTATACGCTTTATCTCTCTTACTAATTGTAAGCTTCTTCCAGGGAGCTTCTAAAAGTTCATGGAAAAATTAAATTATCTTTTCATTCCATTTCCCATTAACTTTTTGAAGCCTCCTCATAAGAAGTACTGCTTAAGCATCTGCAAGCTAACAGAGTACCTTGGACACAGAAGTGTTCATTTAAAAAATGTGGGGTTTTTTTATGCTAGGAAAAGCTGGTTGTTATCAAAAGTTCATTTTTACAAAAGAGGTATTTAATGCACAGATAGGTTGAGTGGTGAATTTTTGTTTGATTTTCAAAGATTCAACCATCACTGTGTATCTACCATGTGCTAAAGAGTCTCCTAGCTGCAGTGAACTCACGTGATAGACCTAGGAAAGGAGGGGTTGTAGAGAAGAGAATGTGAGCATATAGTATCAGGCATTGAATATAGTGAAGTGTTAATAATTAGCAGAACCAGATAGAACCCAAGTCCACCCTACTCTAAATGCATCTCTGTTGAGCCAGGTCATCACCGTCGCCTAGTAGTTTCCTATAGTCAGGCATCTATGAAATATGAACTTTTGGAAATAAGAAAACTGATTTCTTTTCATTACAAGTTAGGATTATTATGCTGCTGTGTGCCATCATACAGTTCTGACTCACAGTGACCCTGTATAGGATTTCCGAGACTAAACCTTTATAGAAGTGGAAAGCCTCATCTTCCTCCTGTGAAGCAGCTGGTAGATTCAAACTGCTGACCCTGTGGTTAGCAAGCCAACAAGTAAGTCACTATGCTACCAGGGCTCTTAGGATCATGGGTGGTGGTGGTGTGCCATGGAGTCAGTTACGACTCATAGAGACCATGTATAGGGTTTCTGAGACTGTAAATCTTTATGGGAGCAGAAAGCCTCATCTTTCTAATGTAAAGTTTCGAACAGCTATAGCCCAACTCATAAATATTAGGCTACCAGAGCTCATTATAGAAAGAAAAAAGGAAAGAAAGAAATGTAGAGTCCTGTAAAAATATTTGTCCAGCTTTCTAAAGCCCTTGATTTTCCTTGTTTGCAAATATATCTGTGCACTTATTTGAGGCCATTTGAAAATGCCTTTTTTTTACTTTGGGCTAGAACCAATTGTTGGTCGATTACTGATGGTTCCTAGTTTGCCTTACCATCTAGTGATGCCATCTAGTGGTGAAGAAGGGCAATCTGAAGCTCTTGTTTTTCTTAAACTTCGGGGGAGAGAAATCTGTTTTTGTTTATTATTCTATTTTGCGTGTAATTTTCAGCTGAGAATAGCCCACAATTTTTATCTCTCAATTTATGTCAGATGTATTATGCAGATTTGCTTGTATCTTTTCTTTTAAAACACCTTGGCAGTTATAGAAACACATTAAAGTTATAAAATATCACAAAAAATGATCAAGATCAGTAAAATTTAAACTAGAATAAGATGTATAAGCCAGGGTAAACACTATTTAAAATAATTTCAATTGCACTTGATTATTACTTGTAAAGTTAAAATGAAGTCTTTTCTTGTGATAGGAATAGCTCACAGTTACCGGATTTCCTGACTAAAAGTATACTTGTATTACTTCGCATCCACACTTCATTAGGTAGGACATTATGTGATTTGGCTACTATGGAGCATCTGTGTCCATGAGGTATGGGATTCCCAGGCACATTGGTCCCGGGGCCCCTGTGCTTTGCCCATGGCCCCGCTGCAGGGAAAGCTAGCTTGCCCACCTCATGAGAACCTGCCCAAGGAGAAGATGATGTGGGACAAGGGGCCTGAGGGTTCCCAAGTCAGGGCTGGGACACCCAGAACACATATCAGCATCTTTGGGACCACACTGGGAGTGTAGGCCTGGGCCTCCATCATCGCAGATTAGGTGATTTCCAGCAGAAACGGGGCTCTGATCTCAGGAAGTGTCTGGTATCGGACACTGAGGACACCTAGGTGTCCCAGCACATGAACATATATGTGGTTAAATGTCGCCTGAATGATGTTAAGTGATGCTTTCTTCTCTCTTCATTTTTTTTATTTGCATTTTATTTTAAGCTTAATTTACTCCCAAGCCATAACTTTTTGTTTCTTCAGTTTCTTCTGAAATATCTTTTTCTTCTGTACAACTTCCTCTTCCGGTTTAGGAACAGTTTGTTCATTTTCAGTGAGGATCATCTCAATATGGCAAGGGGAGCTCATGTACAGGGTGATCCGACCATGAGCTCTGTAAGTTTGATGGCGCATCCTGGGGGCTTTGTTGACCTGGATGTGCTCAATGAGCAGAGAATTCACATCTCAGCCCTTAAATTCAGCATTGCTCTCTGCATTTTTAAGCATATGCAGCAAAAATTCAGCACTCTTTTTGGGCCACTGACCCTGTGTCCAACCCCACTGTTTGGCCTGGGCCAAGCACCAACGCCACCATTATAACGTCAGAATGGTACACGTTGCTTCTGCAAAGTGACATCTTTTAGATACTTGGTGGCTATCCGGATATGCCTACCCTTGATGGCCTGGGCAGTCTCACGGGTGTTCTTAAAATGGACCCGGAGATTTGAACCTCTGGATTTGCATGATTATATGGGGTTTTCTGGGTCAAGTGAGTAGTGGACCATTTTGTGAGATTACCTCAAGCCACTTACGGGAAGAGCTTTTCTCTCTGCATTTAAGGGGCTCATAATCCAGTTTGTGAATTACCTAGACGCTCTTCTTCCCTGCCCATTGCTGATCTGAGTTTTTTAAATTGTTAAGTGCCCAGTGGCACTCACAAGTGTGGTCCCAAACCAGCAACATCAGTCACAACTCAGACCTTATTGTTGTGTTTTTAAGTGCCGTCGAGTCGAATCCGACCCATAGTGACCCTGTATAGGGTTTCCAAGGAGCAGCTGGTGAGCTTGAACCACCGACTTTGCAGCTCAAACGACTTTACAGTCTGGTGCATTAGCCCACAGTGCCACACTAGGACTCCCAGACCTTATTGTTGTTGTTAAGTGCCATCACCAGACCTTAGTAAAAAGGCAAAATTTCAAACTCCCTCCAGACCGATTGAATCAAACTCCTGGGATGGAGCCCAGCAATCTGTGTGTTAATAAACCCTCCAGGTTGACTCTCCTGCACACTCTAGTTTGAGGACCTCTGTTAACTTTTGTTTTAGAAGATTATTGGAAGGGGATTAAAAATAACCTACTGTTACTTATTGATTAGCAACTCTGGTTTTGTTTTGTTTTATGTTTTAAGGGTCAGAGAAATTGAACCTTGAATAAAATAGTACTGACTTTTTTGGGCCTCCACTTAATTTGTTGATACCAGGGGAAAAGTGGGAGCTATCTGACTACACAAAAGTTGAAATAAGAATTTGCAACAGGGTCTAACTCAAGTATAGGATGGCATTGAGAAATTTTTGATTCAGTGTATAGTTTCCAAAGAAATTTTTTTCCTTTTTGAAACTGACTTCAGTGTAACTCACCTAAAACCATTTGTTTACATTAAGATTAGCCCAGACTTCTGAAGAGCAAGCGAAAGATCTACAAGAAAGCATATGCTTTGTTAGCCAGACTTAAAATGGTTACTATCTAAGTTCAGATTCAAAGTTTAAAATACGCTTTTCTTGATTGTTGAGTTGATTGTTTTTTAATTTGTAACTGTGAAAATGACTGTAATTATCTTAAGTAACTTGTTGCATGAAGCTGTTATAGAAATGGGGCATTTATCCACTGGATTTTTAAGGTATGATTTTTCTGAGTGAACATATTGTTGTTGTGAAGTGTGGTCCAGTTGGTTCCAACACACAGCGACCCTGTGTAGTTTCCAAGGAGCAGCTGGTAGCTTTGAACTGCAGACCTTGTGATTCCAAGTCCATTGGTAATCCTACAGCACCGCACCATTATTTACCCTAAAATAAGAAATTCTATAAAGGCTCTCTTTCCTCTCTCCAAAAAAAAAAAAGATTAACAGGAAAAGAGCATGGTAGATGAGATTCAAATCTAAATCTAACTTGTCAGATTCATTGCAGAGTTGTTAAGTGCTTTCTTTGCCACTGTCAAGACATTGCCAAAACCTTCTTACGATGCTGCCATTCTGTAGATACTCCTGGAGACTGTAGAGTCCACAGCTGTCATGTCTGGGTTGTTGTTAGGTGCTGTGAGTCAGCTCTGCATCAGAGTGACCCTATGAATACCAAAGCAAAACACTGCCCAGTCCTGTGCCATCAGCACAAGTGTAGCCATGTTGGAGCCTATTGTTGCCGCCCCTATGACAATAGTGTCTGTAGAAAAAGCAGGACTTTGAACAGAGGAAGTAAGTGACTTTCATTGCCTTCATTTGATTTCCGCTAGTCTTGTTTAGTGTTGTTGAGTTAGTCCCAACTCACCTTGTATAGGGTTTCAGAGACTAGAAATCTTTGTGAGAGCAGAAATTCTCATCTTTCTCCCGTGAGCTTGAACCACCGACCTTGTGATTCACAGTCCAGTGCTTATCCTACAGCGTCACTGAGATCCTCTCCTTTAGATTATTTAAGCTAAAGCTAAAAACACTTAAAAAGGATGAAGTTCGGGGCTGAAGACTTTGTCAAAAGACTTTGCATTCTATACAGGAAAGGAGAAATCATTTAAAAAGTCAGCCTGGTTGGAAGGGTGGATCAAAGGGTGTTAACGCTGATTGTCCAAGCATGGCGTGAATTTAAAAATAATCGGAAGGTGCTAGGTTATTTCTGTGTGAATACTGAAAATGGCCACACCACTCACTTTCTTTATAAAGTTTATTCTGGCCAAATGAAAATAAAAAGTCACTTGAAACAGTTGTATTTTAATCTACTTTGTGAAAAGCCTCTCATTTGCATGTGAGAAATTAAAGCTGAAGGGGCCATCTCACCATAGACTCGTAGAAGCTCCGAAGAAAGCTTCACAATCTACTTAGAGGCTAGACTTAAAGATAACCCGTCCTCTGTTGTCTCACCCAGTGACTCATGAGTCCTTCTAGGTTTGGTGTACTAAATCAAGGTGACTTCATAGCAGGAAGTCATTACTAAGGGTGCTGACCTGGAGAACAAAGAGTACAGTGACAGATTCATCTGTTTGCAGTGATATTTGACCTGGCTTGGTGCTTTGTCAGAACAAACATCTTTTTTTCCTGCTACTGACAAGGCCAGTTTTTACAAGATACCTTAGTAGAAATTCAAAAACAAAACACTTTAGTACATTGAGAAACCTTTTGGAGGATTTTTCTGGTTCATCTAAAAGTGTTACTACTTTGGAGACTTTCCTCTTTGAGCTTCAAGGCATGCTGCACATGACATTTTTCTGTCACCAAGATCCTTGTGTGGAAAACAAATTATTAATGTCATGGTGGGGATGAGCCTTAAACCTCAAAGATCATCCTATCCAAGTGTTCTTCTAATGTTTTAAACCCTCTTATAACCTCTGCACAGGTTACTCAAACTTAGACCTGGAGGTATTAAAAGGGGTGTGGGAGGAAGTGTGAGTGGAGGGCGAAGACAGAGATCAGCGTTCGCCATTTGTGTTGCTGCAGCATGCTACCAACTTCAAAATGTCTGTAATTGCCACGACCCTCTGGAGTTTATACAGCCTTCCTGACCCTAGTTATATATACTATCTTTTCCAACTAGAGAAATGTAACTCTAAATCTCCGAGTTTCTCAACCTCACTACTTTGCCAGTTAAGTCCAGATAATCCTTTGCAGAAATATGTGTGTGGGGAGGTGGTGGTGGAGCTGGATAGAGGGGGTATGGGGGGGGGGGGAATTCCTGCTTTTACTAGGGTATTGAGCAGCATATAACTCACTAGATGCCATAGCAGTCACCCCCACTGTCCCCAGTTGTGATTATAAAAAATATTTCCAGACATTATCAAATATCCCCAGAGGTGGGGGCAAAGGGTTGAGAACCACTGATCTAAATTAAACATGAGTTCTGTGAGATAGAGTCCTATGGAAACATCCAAATTATGTACTTTAGTAAGGAATAGTTAAGATCTTAACTATTTCCTCAAGCAGTTACAATTGGTAGAATGTTGGTGCACTTCTTTCAGCGGTTTTTGTACAATGAGTCAGGAGTACGTTTCAGTCCGTCCTGCCTATGTTAAGTGTCTGTGAAAGTTGGCTACTCTAATAGATGCTGTGAACATACAAATAATAGAACTTTGTTGCCTAGATTACAAAATCAGCCTCAGATTTAGGCTGCATGTCAGTTTTTTTCTGTTTAGTATAACATGCAAACAGAAAAATGCACATATCCCAAGTGTTCAGTTCATTGAATTTTACTAAACTGAACACATGTTACCAGCAACCAGGTCAAGAAACAGAAGCCTGTAACCCACCCCCACTCTTGCAAACCATTCATGTCCTAACTTATTAGTGGTCATTTGCCTGACTTCTAAAAGCATTAGAATCTTCATTTTGACAAGATTCCCAGTAATACAATAAAAATGCACATTGATAAAAGCATTGTATTATAACCATATAATTCCTGGCATTTCTTAGTAAATAGTAAATAGAAAACTAATTCTATTAAGATGAACTGGAGACCTTTAGCCACGCTTCAAGGTGCTTTGGCAGTGTAGTGGTTACGAGTTGGGCTGCTAATCTCAGGATCAGCAGTTCGCAACTACGGACCATTCCTAGAGAGAAAGATGAGGCTTTCTGCTCCCATATAAATTTACAGACTAGGAAACCCTATACAGGGTCGCTATGAGTTGGGACCGGCTCCACGCACATGACTACCACCACCAGTCACCCTTCAGGTGTGGAACTGAACTCACCTCCCCCCAACTTTCAGTGAAACAATAGGTCTTTAAGGTAAGCATGCCTTATTTACCCACTTGACACCAAAAGGGCAACATTTACCCAAGGACAAAGTTCAGAAGGGTTAAGAAAGAAGGAGGAATGGAAACAGGAAACAGAGGCTGTGACACTGAGGGGTTTGCAATCGATGAGATGATATAAAATGTGTATGATGATCTGCTCTACAAACCTTCACCCAGTTCACAGTAGTTTGTTTTTCATTCCATGGTTGTTGTTGTTAAGTCATCCAGTTCGTTAGGATTTCCTACGAGTGGGTTAGGATTTCCTACGCGTGGGTTAGGATTTCCTACGCGTGGGTTAGGATTTCCTACGCGTGGGTTAGGATTTCCTATGAGTGAGTCTGTTAGGACTTCCAAGGAGCAGTGAGCTTGAACAGCTGACCTTACATTTCAAACTGAGCTTGCAGTCCAATGCATTAACCTACAGCACCACACCAGGACTCGATCTTTAAAAAAAAAAAAAAAATTAGGGAAACACACAAATGAAAGTAATCCATCTTGGCTGTGCTTTCCTTGGTTTTTCATACCATTATGCCCCTGAAGGAGACCTGATGTGGCGCAGTAGGATCAGCGCTGAACTGAGAGCCACAAGGTCGGCAGTTCAAACCCCCAACTGCACCTTGGAAATCCTATACAGGGTCGCTATGAGTCAGAACCAACTCGACAGCACTTAATAGCAACAACATTACCTTGAAAATACCTAAATTTGGGGAGCACAGTTTTGGTTAGAGATATCTCTGGTCACTGCTTGTTGGTGCTAAGACCCACAACCACCCTGTATAGGGTTTCCGAGGAGTGGCCGGTGAACTTGAGCCACTGACTTTGCAGTTCAAAGCAGCTTTTTAATCCAGCACATTAATCTGCAACACCACACCAGCACTCTGGTCACTGCTAACCTGGTCAAATTCTAGTAGGATGAGGAAGATAAAACATGTGTGCCCATTGGCACATGCTGTTCATCTGTCCCTGAGAAGTTCAAGCTAGAGGCTGAACATCCACTTTTCTCTTTGGGAGAATAGAGGTAAGGAGATGTACTGAATACTAAATAAATATATACTTTTTTTTTTTTTTTTTTACAGATCTTCTTTAACTTTGGAAATGGACTTCATTTAGAGGTAAGGAACCAAGGGGATGATTACTGTCATTTGGACTCAGGGCTTAAATTCATGAAAGGCAACCTGACTATACCTTTCCAGATAAAAAATGCACAGCCCTTAGACTCAGCTATTCCCGTTCAAACAAATGCACGGGAACATAGATTCAGGAATGCTCAAGGCCAACGTTCTTGAGTATTCTAAATGACCATTGATAGAGGAGAGCTAAAGCTATTTGTGCCACATGGAAGAATGTTCCTGATACCGTATTGAATAGAAAATCAATGAGGTATATCCGATAAATCCATTGCTATAGAGAAAAAGCAGAGCTATTACAAATATGTGTATATGTATATAACTGCATGGGCATACATGATCAGAAAAGATTTTCTTCAAGCTATTGACAGTGATTACTCTGTAAATTATAATAAACAAGAAAGTAGAAGGAGGTTTTACATTTCTACATTATAATTTTTTTAATTATATTAAATTTTTTAAGTTATTAAAAAAGTTCAATAAAAAGAAGGAAAAACATCAATAAACTAGTGATAAATGAGCTCTGAAGCCTATGGTGACTGTTTGGGGAGATTCCAAAGGAGCAATCTTGATAGATTTTCTCAAAGGAAACAGAACAGTCTTGAGGACTTATCATGAAGAAGTTTTCAGAAAATCAAAACCTACCTTAGTGAGAAAAAAGGCAGGACAGTTTCGCTCAGAATTTTTTTTTTATCACGAAAATGCACATGTTCTGTCTTCTAGGATAGCTATGTTTCTTATACCTGAGAAGGGAAATGAAATCCTTTACCTTATCTTAACTTGGAGCCCTGGTGTGGCGCTGTGGGTTAATGCGCCAGACTGCAAAGCCGTTTGAACTGCAAGGTCAGCAGTTCAGACTCACCATCGGCGCTCCTCAGAAACCCTATACGGGGTCGCTATGGGTCAGAACCCAAGTCCAAGGCACGTAACAACGACAATCTTAACTCAGCAAATTCACTTCACTGGCACTTCCCCTTGTGTCATTTATATGTCAATGTTGTTGTTGTTAAGTGCTGTCATTAATAGGCTGTTAAAATTTGTTCTAAAACAGTAATTTATTTTGAAATTAAAACCACAGAAAAATGAAACTTCATTTCCAGTTAATTTTTAAAAAAATTATTATTGCCAATTTATAAAATCACTAAAGTTACTCATTACCCTTTTAAATTCTTTACTATCAAAGACAATCTCTTGAACACCTCTAGGGTTTCACGATACCTTTTCTCAATATTTCATTGTTGCAGACCTTAAATACAAGAAATGAAAATAAGCTGCTTCCTAAACACACACACTTAGTGCGGCAAAAGCGGGCCTGGATCACCGCTCCAGTGGCTCTTCGGGAAGGAGAGAATCTATCCAAGAAGAATCCAATTGCCAAGGTACGTCAAAGGAGCAGCATGCACTAGGTGTGCTTTATTGAAATGCAGCGTGAGAGGATTTTCATGGCTACATTGAAATTTTAAAGAAAGCTTTATCATATACTTAGTGATTTTTTTTTCATATTTGTGGGACAGATAGGGGCTTCATAAGGTTTGTGGAAAAAATAGAATTAAAAGATAGTGGGATTTCCCCCATGAACTTTTTAAAACCCCAATGTATTTTTAAATTAGTACAGCTAAAGTTTTATCAGAAAGTTCCAACTTGAAGATCTTCATTCCTATTTTGGAAGATGTAGCATCGTTGGTATAAAAAAAATGTTTTTAAGGTATATACTCACACCCCTCTGAGCTTTGATTTAAGAAAGAGTTAAGAGACTTGGCATTAGTTTAATCTTTTGTTTAACAAGAGTGATACAATATTCACATGAGAATAATTATAAAAATTTTCAAAACGAAAGGAATAGAGGTCTAATGAGTAGCGTGACTTTGGTGTTGTTGTAAGGTACCACTATCTTTTCATTCTATTTTGTTCCAGTCTTCCTTATTCATTGCTCAGCTCTCAGATACAAATGAGGCAATTAAAAATACTATGCCTAGCGTCAGGAGCACTTTAGTCTTCAGGGTGTCATCATTTACTTCTTACCACTTTAAAGAGGTTTTTACAGCAGATTTGTCCAATGCAGTAGGTCATTTGATTTCTTGGCTTTTGCTTCCATGAGCATTGATTGTGGATTAAAGTAAAATGAAAGCCTTGACAATTTCAATCTTTTCTTTGTTTACCATGATGTTGCTTATTGGACCAGTTGTGAGGATTTTTTGTTTTCTTTGTGTTAAAGTATAATTCATACTGAAGATTGTAGTGTTAGACTTTCATCACTAAGACCTTTGAGTCCTCTTCACTTCTGGCAAGCAAGGTTGTGTTATCTGCATATCACACGTTGTTAATGAGTCTTCCTCTAATCCTGAAACCACATTCTTCTTCATACAGTTCAGCTTCTCAAATTGTGTGCTCAGCCTACAGATTGAATCAGTAAGATGATAAGGCACAACCTTGACACTAATTTTTCACAATTCTAAAGAACTAAGAAAAGAACACAATACCCCTTTGTTCTTTTCAAAGGGCTGCCTCTTGGTCTATGTTCAGATTCTGCATGAACACATTTAAATGTTCTGGAATCCCCATTCTCCGCAATGTTACCCATAGTTTGTTTTGACCCACACAGTTGGAAGCCTTTGCATACTTTAAATAAAACTAAGTACACCTCTTTCTAAGGAGCTCTGATAGTGTAGTGGTTACGAACCCTCAGTGTCAGCAGTTCGAAACTACCAGCTGTTCTGCGGGAGAAAGATGAGGCATTCTGCTCCCATAAAAATTTACAGCCTCGGAAACCCTGTTACAGGATCACTATGAGTCGGAACTGACTCCACGGCACATAACAACAACACATCTGTCTGGTATTCTCTGCTTTTAGCCATGATCTGACATAAGCAGTAATATCCCTCATCATCTACTAAAACTGGATTGAATTGCTGGCAGGGGGACTATACATCCTGGTTTTATGTCTATTGTTCCCGCATAGTAATAAATAACTCCACTTTCACTTGCAAAGTGCTCCTTATTTTGGATAAATTATATAGTTAGTAATCCTACTAGTATATATTTCAAATCTGAACTCTTGATTTTTTTCTCCTAAAGCTATTTTCCATGAATCGTACCCAATTCAGTAATGTCATTTTATTCAGTTCTTCAAGCCAAAAATTAGTAACAAGTACTATTAGCTCTACCTCAACAATCTATTTCCCACTTACTCACTTCTCTCTAACCCCACTATTGTCCTCCAGCCCAAGTCACTGTCACCTCTGACCTAAGAAAGCCTTCACCTTTGTCTCCTTGATTTTACTCTTGCTACTTCCTGCCCCCCAGTTCTTTTGAAAAGACAAATCAAAGCAATTTGCACCCCCTTGGTAAGAGCCTTTCAATAGATCTTCAATGCAATGAGAGAGAGAAGCTCCTTAGAAAGCGGTCGGCTTCCAGAACTGCACTGATGAAACCCTATGGGTCACAATGGTCCAATCCACACCAGTTGTAGGACTAGCACAGGACCAGGGAGCATTTTGTCATGTTGTACACGGGATCACCGTGGCAGCAGCTGACAAGAATTGTGGCCTACCATATCTTATACATTGTCAGGAGGGGCCAGTCGCTGGAGAAAGATATCATGTTTGGTAAGGTGGAGGGTCAGAGAAAAAGAGGAAGACCCCCAACGAGATGGATTGGCC